TCTATAAAAACAATATACTAAAATGGTTGTTTATGGCATAAATTTAATTTTTGTTATTTTATGGAGTATATTTTTAGTTGATATTTCTCATTTGGTATGGTAAATAAATTGAAATTTCATTTATAAAGACATGTGGAATTATTTTTATATTATATATGCAATATGAATGTCAAATTAAAAATTGTTAAAGATGGTATTTTGATATATCATATATGAAAAAAGCTATAGAAATAAGAAACTTAAATTTTTTAAAATAAGTAGAATAAATATTTATAATAATTAATATATGAAATAAATATGAAAAGGAGATGTAGTGTATGGTAACTAATAAAAAGAAAAGGTAATGTATAGTAATTTACAAAAAAGAAAAGTAAAATAATTTTATCGTAATTTCCGAACATAGTTGTTAAACCGTGTATAATACGAAACACATATTTGTGCCAAATAAGCTTCTGAAGCATGCGAGCCTGCCATTTAGCTCATTACATCTAAGAATTATATATAAGGACGATATTAATAAAAAAAAATTGAATTTAATTAATTTAAAAGGGCATGACAACCAACATTCATTTAAACTGGTACGTACATTCACAGTCTTTTTCGTTTAAAAAAATAGGGTTATAAGCTTTAGTTAATATCTTTTAACCAATGTTGTTTTTTTAGCCAGAACATCTATCTATATATTAAAAGAATAATCTTTTAAGGATTCCCGTCAATTTTTTCCGCCAATATATGTATATATAATCACCCGCCAATTTCAGTAACAGTGTCCTAAAAATTAGCAATTGTCTTTCCTATTTTTTTTGGTAGACTGATTTATTGGGTAGATAGGGTAACCGACTGATTTATTGGGTAGAATTTGTTATTCTCTTTCCTTTTTTTGGTATCAAAATAAATATTTGTAATTATTTTTGGTATCAAAACTAATAATTTTCAAATTGTTTGTAATCAAATATTTTTGGATGGAACACCATAAATTCAGTATGATTTTATTAAATTAGACTTATAATATTTTAGATACTTAAAACAAATTGTTTAGACATTTTTTTACATATTCATCTATATATTTTTACATATACACATACACATTATTGATGTTAAATTTAAATATATGTAGACATGTTTTATTTACAAAATAGTCTAGATTTTTTTTTTTTTTTTTTTTTT